ATGTCTTACTCATGCATATTGAGTAAACAGAATATACCTGTATCATCTTATTTGAAGTAGATTAGTATCATGGTGAAATCAGTAAGTTTGGTTCTTTAATCTTGGAACGTGATTGGTTGGATTGGATGGTACAGTATCATTTTGTGTAAGGTTAGATTGATTATCATTATTTGTTCGTTTGGTATTAATACCGTAATTACATTGCATCAATTTGAAACTTTGGGGGTGAGGATAATCTAGGAAGGTTTTTCAGTGGTTAGGCTGAATGATTGCTGCTCAATAACGAAAAATTCTGATGCAGTCCTTGAGTTTTTTTTAAGGAATTTGCGGAATGTATACAAAGTTGTGGTTTCCAGGTTCACTGAGTGCCCGGAAAAATATGGACAAATGTCGATAGAGTTGACTTTCGTTTGAGCGAGAAGCCTCTCAAAGGAATGATCTATAGAATAAAAATTCAAATCTCAATTACCGTGTTTCCTGAATGAACGTTCCAACCGAAAAATCCCCGGAAGCTATGAATTTGGAGAGAAAGGCGCATAAAAGATTTACCCAGAAGTTCTACAAGTGCGCATTAATTTCTGTGAAATCATGGCTCGTAAATTCGGTCGTAATAATATTTTTATTTCCTTCGGGAATGTTCAGTACTGAACTGGTGCAGTTGGTTGATCACTTTTATTTCATTTTATTTTTTTACGAGACGCCCCTTTCTCGCCTGTAAGCTGTCCTCATCCGCATGCAGGTTATTCTGACAGCCGGTGCCACCCGCTTTCTTCCATTCAGGAATAACAAAAGCCCGACGTTCTCGGGACCGTGCAGTGAATCATATCATAACGGTGAATTTTCTGAACGCCAGGCGACTATACTTGCATTTATCTTTTTCCCCCCTGAAATGGGAGAATTTACGCTCGGAATTATTTTATTTCAGTGAATCCTGAAAGGGTGGAGCGTCGTGGAGTGACAGTTGAAATTAAAACAGTTATTCAAGTAGCGCGTGTATACAAGATGGAAAGATAAAAAAGTGTGCAGATGAGAAGACATGCTGGGATTTAAAAAAAAAAGCCTCAGATAAGTAAAACGTATTCAAGTTTACAAAGGTGCTGAAAAGAGTAATAAATTCAAATTTTGGTCAGTTTCTCTACGTCCTTCGCAAAATCGTAAAAAAGTGGGCAATGGAGAAGCCATGTGAAATGGCTTGTTCATGTACAGCACTGTAAATCGTGGTTATTTTACCTACGTCCTATGCAACATAAAGAAAACCGTGCAAGTGAGAAGCCATGTGAGAAAATAACAGCATCAGATGGGGAAAAAAGTATTCAGGATTTAAAGGGTGCTGAAAAGGTTATTTATAGTGTAAATTGTGGTCATTCTATCTACGTCTGCCGCAAAATAAAGAAAAACGTGTGCAATTATTACTGAAAAGCTATGTGAGCAGAGAACAGCATCAGATGAGTAAGAAGTGTCGAAGATTAAAATGATGCTGAATAGCTTATTTATATTTTAAGTTGTGGCCATGTTATCTACGTTAAACGCAAAATTAAAAAAAAATGCAATTTTGGGAGCCACGTGAGCTAGATTTGCGAAAGCGAATCGCAATTTGAAGGCGCTGAAAATTGTGTGTAGAATGTCATTGCGCCGTATTAATTTTATTTTCAAAGAAACTATTCTAATTAATTGAAACATGTCATTGTTGATGATGTGCCCATACTTTTTGTAAAAAATATATGTTCTCTCTTAATTATTCGTGACACTTGGTGAACTGCATGATGAATCAATGCTGTCTCACAATGCTGTTGCTGTTCCGTTTTGGATCGCGCTCTTCGGCCCCCAATAATGATTCAGGCATTGCTTCGGGGAGTTTATTTTGAATTCTTTTTTCCTCCCTCCTTAGTTTTTTTTTTTGGAAACCCGATTCTACTGAACTAGGGGGAAAGCGTCAGCGTGACTCATCGTCTGAAAATCCTGTAGTTCGGCGAATCGACGATCGCACGGGACAATAGTAAACGTGGATCAGCAGTCTGAGGCTTGGACATCGATTGATCGTCTCTTTCTTTGTCTTTTCTTCGCGAGGGCTGGAATCGAATTGTATTAAATTTAATGATTCTGTGTAAACAGAATCTCAATTACCTCGGCCAATGACCGAGTGCCTTTATACCTGATGAGTATAAAATGTCACGGATAACACTTGCTGTGTAAAAGTTTAATTTTACGCTTGAAAGCATTGTTCAGCTGTGACCTGGTACAGTGTCATGAGAATTTTCTCAAATACAGGCTGACTCTTTCTCTCTACAACAAAATCCAAGGGACCCTAAAAATGTGTTGTGCCAAACATTTTGTTGTCGAGAACCCCATAACACTAGGAAAGAAACCTATGGGACCAGGCATTTTTTAGAATTTAGAGTATGTATAACCTTGGAGATAATGACATGAAAATAATTTGCAATCAATAATGAGCAATATCAACGAGGAAATGGTGCAGTAATTAGAAAACTCGGAAATGTACTCAAAGAGCATGAGGAAATAGACCGGATAAAATTAGGATTGTGCAAGGCTTTTCGTTGCTTCTCAAGGCAATAACATTCGGACATGATTAATTGAATCCTGGATTTTAACCACGTAATTATTTCGAAATTTTGCATTATTATGTCTGGCCTTTTTTTTTTTTTTTTAAAGAAAAAAGGTTATTTTCACTTCAAAGCATTAGTAACTTGTTGAAATGTGCTTCGCCGAAGAGTAAATTTGAGAGTGAACAATTTTTGTTCGGTATGACGTGTATTTATGCCTAAATAGGTACAGTATTACGAAATATTCAACAAAATGTATGCTTTCTCTTAGGTGATGAAACCCATGCGCATTTACAAATGAGATGAGGAATCTCCAGTATAATATTGTAACGGTTGTCAGCATTAAGCTGTCTGTCTTGCGCGGTTGTCGTTCATTATCAATTTGGCTTTTCTTATTCGAGCGTGTTGCAAGTTTCATCAGGTCGGAGTGATTTTCGCCATCTATATCATTGCTGAGATGACTTTTACCTAGAATCTGTAGTCTAGTAAGCAACGTGCTTTGAGATTGAAGGCAGTTTTAAGCGAGAATCACGATATGAAATAAGTGTTGGAGAAAATCTGAAGGGTGTTCCATCAAAAGCTTGCGAACGTGGTCGAGGATCGTTGATTGTTGGGCTTGGTTGATCATTCGTGTTGCTGGACATCAGCACATGGGCTCTTAGAAAGTTCTTTTCTTTCAAACGAGTATCCACTGACTCGTATATAATTGATGGAAAGAAATGCTGAGAAGCGTTGGAAGAGATCAACATTTTATTTTTGAAGTACTGGAATTTGACTGTAGAAGTACAGGTACTGACCGACGAGTTTTCTGCTTCACGTGATAGAGAGAAAAGAGTGGAAAATGTCTTGCGTCACGCTGTGAGATCGTTTTGTAAATCGTAGAATTTCTGGAATGGAGTCGACGCGCATTTTTCGGATCGTCATTTCAATTCGGGATGCTTCTCGAATTCTTTGGCTTCCATCTTGAACTTGCATTATTTATCTGTGGCATCTTTTCTTTCTCCGGCCAGTTTCTGTCCGAGTCCCTTCCAATGTCAATTTATCAAGCTTAAACTGTCCTGAGTGCATGAGTGAATGTTTTTTGTAGTAATCGAATGTCAATTGGGTACAATTTACCCGTGTGACAAATTCTGCACCAGTCAAGAGACAACTTTTTAATTTTTGGAAACGGACTTCGTAAACCTCAGTTGAGAAAATTTATCTCAAAGAAATCCAGTGTCATGTTCCTGAAAATGTATTCTATACTGAAAATGGAAAGTTTTTTTTAATGATGAGATAGAATTAACATGTACCCTATGGTCTTTCTGCTGTGGTTTGAAAAAAGTTTATTTAGTACTCAGAAATTTGCTGTAACAGTATTTTGTTGTAACAAGATTTTATTGTGGCATCCACATCGTGAAACAATTCGCAGCCAAACTTTTTTTTTCTGACGTGTCTGTTATGGTGACTCTATATTTGAATAAAATTTGCTTATACCGTGCTTTTAATTGACGAGTGTTACAAAAATAAGACCGTTTTTTTCCAAGATATTGTTCAGTTTTTGCTGTTATTAAAATTTTGAACCTTATCCTTCCCGAGCAGATACTTCTTGTTTTGATCGCTGGTACAGTGGTACGCAGTCAGCAAATCGTGTACCGTATGTAGAGTCTGTACAGTATAAAGTATTGAGTTAGCCGAAGTTGAATTTGTGACACTAAAATCCTGGAACAGTTGAAATTTCAATTCTACTTTGCCAAAGTCGGAAGAGTTTTCTGAAAGCTTTGTAAACAGCTTAAACCTGTGAATGATGTAGAGGCGAAATGTTCTAGCTTCGGGGAAAACAAAAGGATTGAGTGGTGCTTGTTACGGTCCTTCGATCGCACAAGCCGTGGTCGGACATGCTTTTCCTATGACATTCTTTCAGTTGTGGAAAACTTCGCTGTGTGCTGAAGCATACAGCGAATTAACGAAAACCCGAAGCACTGCTGGTGGAAAAAAGTATTTCCCGTTTCTGGGGTTACTGAGCGAGTCTTGACCCCGACGTGCGCATAATGTCGTGACACTGATGCCTCCAAGAGAGGCGCGGTATGCTGCCTGCCTCTGGAGTTGAGAAAAAAAAAAGATTCAGGCACATTCGTTGGGAAAGGCGCATTGTTCGTTGTGGTGGATAGTTGTCGAGATGGGCCCATAGCTGGTGATGGGATCGTTTCGTTTCGTTCGTAATGTGTTTGAATAATTTACGCCCTGAGGGTATATGTGATGAGCGAATGTTGATTTGTGTATGGGGATGCGGGAGGCTTCATTTTTTTTTCTACGCGCGCCTGCGCGGTTAACTTGATGTGTGGACGGGTATTCGTTGAAAGGCGCTCGTTCAGGTCAGTTCATTACCCGAAGCTGAAGTGAATTCTTGGGAATTCTGTAATCTGGGAATTCCCAGATACCAAGGTGTTACTGATCGGCATGCGCACCATATTGCGCAACGCGACTTTTCGCGATTCGTACGAAGATTTCAGCGGAGTCGTTGAGCCTTGGCTGCGGTAAGATTGATGAATGTATGCGTTATGAAAGGACCTTGGTTACAGCTATGTCAGAGGTCATAACTAAGACCAGTGCCGTGTTGTGAAAGCATTCGAAAGCTTCCGCTTCGTCGGCTCGATGGATGCGTTTCTTATTAAAGATCGAGTTCAGGATGATCTTCGGTTCGATAATCAAACTTTCAATAGGAACCGGAGCTTTTGTGTCATTTGTGTTTTTGATTGTCGATTGGTCAGATGTCTCCCAATTTTTTTGCTCCAATTCATACACAAGTGAAGTATGTCTGAAGATATTTCGGCGTTAGCTGATGTGATTTACGATATCTGTACATGTATCGACGTGTAATCCTGAAAAGTTTGGAAAGCGATTGCTAACGCGAGCAAAATTTGATATATTTCAAGATGACTCACCCATGGCTTACGATTCTCAGCATATGTTCGTCGATCGGCGAAAACATTCACGTATTTTGTTTTCAAAGTCCTGTATTTGGAGTTCCGTATTCTTGGAACTTATCCTTCTTTTGGTTGTGTTTAAAACGTGATCGTGAATTCTTGTATTTTTTTGCAGGTTACTCAAGTACTCGAAACGAGTCCCTGAGGCAACTGGTGCTTCCGGATTATTTTTATCGATACAAATATTGTATGCTATACGCGCGTGTGATTCGTGATGCAAGTTCGTGCGCGTTTATCGTGATATTTTAGTGTCGCGGAAGTGTTCCATCGCGTACACGTGCTGCTTTCGAACTCGTCCAGCAATCTGATGAAGAAGTTCAGTCGTCGTCTGAGCTTTCCGAATCTTCGCTCGGCTTCGAGCAAAAAGTCACTGGACATCGAAACATTTCCTCAAAGTACCGCTGAGAACATTTACTCAGGAATCTGCATGCGAACGCGATCGACGGAGAAAAGTTTTTTGGTAAATGAATCTCCGAAAAGCGATCGTCCTGTATCGCTGTTCGACGGAGCACTGGACGGAATAAAGTGAGTTTACCTTTGTCCTGTTTGCCCGATTTTCGGTGGGAAACGTCGAGGACTCGAATGTTTACAGGTTTTCTTCGCCCTTGACGATGACGGACGACGACTGTTTCGTTCTGGAAGCGAGTGAGGAAGTTATACTTCCACCGCCCTCTAGTTTCGCCGACGATGCCAGTTTCTCGAGCAGTCCAGACTACGAGGAGATTCCGAACGACGAGCCGCTTGAGCCTTACCTATCCACGCTCCCGTCCTACGAAGACAGTGATCCGAATTCCTTCATCCTTCCCAGCGTTTGTGGAGAATCGTCGTTGCTTGACGAGATTGAAGCCGAGTATCGTGGACGAGAAGTGCGTGGGGCTCAGTCGGCTAGTGTACGAGTGTCCATCCTGGAAGAATTCGATCCGCTGCGGAGTTGCTCTTCCCCGAGCAAGCTCCCTGAACCGTTGTATGCGACTGTGAAACCGCGGCGGGAAATGGCGTGCCAATCCGGAGCTGTGCATTACGCAGTCCCGCGTGACTCAGTGTATTCGTCGTACTCGGATTCCTCGTCGTCGGGATTCGAAGACTCGGTGAAAGATATGCTGCCTAGATTCGAAGATACCTTGGGTCTTGGAGACGGCTTCCAGCTTGCGGGGTTTAAATTGTGTACGCTTCCGAACGTGTCGAAGCCACCGCTCGAAGGTTACCTCTTTCATTTCAACGAGGACAAGAAAGATTTCTCTCGTTTGTGGTGCATTTTGAAAGACGGACTTTTCAATCCTTTCGCTGGCCCATTGCCTGCGAAAGGAAAGATTGGAAAGAAGTGGTGTTTGGAGACAAAATTCATCACGACGATCAGTTCAGTCACCAAGGGCTCACTTGGGTGAGTGTAAATCTGTCTTCGACGTCTGTTTCATTAGATATTCCTATCGATTAACCTGATCAATTCAGTACGCTACGCGTTTGTCGTAAATGAGGAAACCGTGATCGCATTCGACGTTTCCGTATTTACTCAAATATAATCCTTTTTTTTTTTGCTGGAAAATCTGGATAATAAAATAGTGTCTTCGCTTCGTTGTCCAACTGCACGATTGGTTGTCAGTAGTGACCTACTCGAAAGTTAGGAAGAAAAAACTGATGCGAATTTGAATTAAAAATTGAAGGAATTCTCATTTCTCTTTCATTTCAGGAACACGAACATTAAAATCTTAATTTTTGTCGGTGAAGTTCAGGAAGTTCTGATAAAAGCTGACTCACGAGTGGAATAAACTACCTCTTCAGAAAAAGAAAGCTATTGAATTTAATGAAAATATAGTTTTCTTTCTTTTCCGTGACAATCAATCAAAGAAAAGGCCAGTCTTATTATATTTGAGTAAATGGAGAGGATTCGATTTTGTCTTTAGCTTGCGAGGAATTGTCGCAAAATGCTTCCAAGTTTTTCTTTCCTCCCTATGACAAGTCATTTCTTAATTTTTTTCCAGTGTTGTGGAAGGAAAGGACCTGAGTTTCTTTGAGATATCCAGTTTGTACGACGCCTCCGTCCAAGGGAAAAAGCCAGACAGAAGGATCTTCGGTGCACTCCTTGACAGCGATTCTATGCTGTGGGTTGTGTCGCTTTTGAGCGGTATTGCCCCGAGGTGCCTGAACATTTTGGAAGAGAGATTCAGCGAGTTCAGTATTATCGGAACCGTCTATTATAAGGTCAGTTTCTTCTCTCTGCCGACTTCTGTTATCGCGGAACGAGAGAGACCATGTTTGAATTGAAGTCTTCTTTTTCACCGTCTGATAACATGGATGTTTATATGAGCTTTGGCTCAAGATTCTGCGCTATATTTGTTTCAGTTCTCAGGACTTCTGTTCATTGTGGGGATTGAACTAATTCTATATGTGCGACGCAAACTTTTGTTCCTTTCGCCATAAAGTTTTTTTTTTTTTTCAATTTAATGTGACGCTGATTTTTCTTAAGAGAGCTTTTTTCCTATTTCGTTAGATTACTGAGTATATGGCTTAGCTTCTTTCCGGGAGGTAAAAATCAAACGAGCTCGACTTGAAGGAAACGTAACGACCTATTTGTTCTCTGGTTTGTTGAACTTCCTCATCTGTTGACGCCGATCAAACATGTATCCCTTGCTCAAAAGTCTGCGAGTATCTTGGAGCTAATTTTCGCTTTTCGGACTCAGAGAGTTTCGAATTGGCAGTTAGAGTCTTTGTTTGCTATATTTTATTTTTCAGGAAAACGTCTCTGGGATTTGGCGCACTGGAGGACTGATGTTACTCGGCTCGGAACTCTTCCTTGAATCCTTGGAAGACGATCAGTTCTGGGAGATGGATTTACGGAAAGTTCGATCAGTCGGTCTTAAGTCCGTGGAAGACTCGGGGAATGCCTTAGGGGTCTACGACAAAGGCACTGTGTTCGTACTCACGATGACCAAGTCGACTCTGTATTTCCAATGCGTTTTACTCAAGGTTCGTGAGCTGTTGGCGTGTTCAGTTTTTTCGGAAAATATCAAACCTTTTTTTTTTATTTATTTTTTATTTTAGGGCATTTTTCAGGCATTCATGAACAGGGTTCCGAAATTAACATTCGTGAATATCAGGGGAATTTTAGTGTGGATCAAATTTAATGATTGACATCTGACTTAAATATTTCTTATGAAAAATTATGACCTGATCTGATGACATTGGAAAATTCAGCCCGAATTCCCTTTCTTGGGATTTGGAATGTTTTTAAATTTGCGAAAATTTTATTGTGGCATATGTTGAACTGGAACTATTTTTTTCTGGAAGCATTCCAAATTTCAGCTCAAATTCACCGTCTCTGGGATTCGAAATATCGGTAAATTTGCAATTTAAATACCAAGGCAAAGCCTCACGATTCACACCAACGAACGTATCGTGACAATAACTTACTCTTACACTGTATTTACAGCAAAACAAAATCATTCCTATCCTTTTTGAGGCGTAACCTTATTGGCGAGATAATTGGGTTTTCACAATTAATTTATTTTCTGTTCCAGGACACAAAAACGTGGCATTCGCGGCTTGGGGCTGCATGGCAGACCTGCGGAATGGGACCTGAGCTGGACAGATTTTTCTTGACGGAAGACGATGTGCCTATCATTGTGGACAAATGCATCAAGTTTGTTTCTACCCACGGCGTTGCTACCGAAGGAATCTATCGCAAGAGTGCGTCCAGCACAAGAACGACGGAGTTGTTGGAAAGACTGAAGAAGGATCCTTGGGGTACGATCCTGACAGTGGAGGAATACAACGAACACGACGTTGCGAACGCATTGAAGCGGTTCTTCAGAACCTTGCCTTCTCCGTTATTAACTTCTGATTTTGCGGAATTGTGGATCGCGTTTGCAGGTTTGTTTTCCAGCTGCTGAAAAGAACTTGAAAAAAACTTTTGTCCTGTACCCCGATGTTTTGCATGACCTTTATTTTTTGTTGCTTAGGAGTTCCTGTCGAAGGCAAGAAACTCGAAGGTTACGAAAACGTACTGAAACAACTTCCAGTCGTAAACCGATGCACGTTGAAAGCCTTGATGTTGCATTTGCATTCGATAGCTTCTCAGCAGGAAATAAATTCAATGCCAGCGAAAAATCTTGCGCCTCTTTGGGGCCCGACGCTGATGACCGTGGAAGTGAGTAAAACGAATTCTAGGTCCTTATTCATTTTTTCCTTGATTTTTAAAGAAGGCCGCGAATGCTTTTTGTGCGGTTTGAATGAGAGAATAATTTCGCTTGACCGAATCCAGGTTTTCGTTGGAAATACAAATGCGATTTCTACGCGTTACGAAATTGACCCTCAGATGCACTTGATGTTCCACTTTCTATGTTACAGAAGTGTTTTTAATGGAACCCAAGAATTCCGGTTTAAAAAAAAGTGCCTCAAATTTCCAAACAACAAAATTAGCATCTCCGCGAAAGCAAATCATTAATGTAAAAAATTTTAAAAGCTCACGAATTTTCTTTTCGAGTGACGTTGGCGGTTAAAGCAAAAAGTATTACTGTATGACTACAGTATATTGTTACCGTACTTAAAAAACGAAGGAGGAATTTGTCGGATATTATCTCAAGTCTGCGATTTGAAAACTCATTGTTATGCATGAAATCCGAAAAATCCTCTCAATCGGCGATCGATTTGATTCTCGAGTGTTTTCCTATTATGAAATCGTTCCTTTGATTTTTCTTTTCCAGGCGATGGAAAGTGAAGGTGGCTTCGCACGCACATCGGAGCAATCCGACGTGATATGCGATCTAATCGCTAACTTCTCACGGCTCTTCGACGTTTCGGACGACGAGCTGCAAAAGGAGGCTAAAATAATCTCGTTGCTCGAAAAGCTGAGGGAAGGAGCCAAGGCCCCACGCCAATCTGGTGATATGCGAGTCTGGGTCTTTTTGTACGACGCGAAAATGGGCAGCTCGGTTAGCATCACCGTCACGCCGTCACTCACCAGCGGAGATTTGTGCGCTCAGTTTCTTCGCGAGGGGAAGCTCAAGGGACGTCTGTCCGACTTCTCCGTTTATGAGGTGCGCCTCATTTCTTTCTCGCATGCGTAATATATTTCTTGTAGTCCCTGCACGTACTTTGTCCCCTCCGAATTACGATTCTTTGATCTCCAGACTTGGACGAAAGAATTATCTTCTTCATAAAGGGTTCCGTATAGCTTCTTTTTAAGCGTCTGGAAACGTGTCTAAATTCCATTAGACACGGATCGTTCCGGCGATAGGATAAAAGTATATAAAAAAAGTAAAAGTAGAAATATCATAAAATTGTAAGAAATATATTATTGGGGGATTTATGCGCTACCAGGCCCTCGAAAACTATTTCAGGGAATCATGAACGACAAATTATGAAATTTTTTCTCGGGGAAGGTGGGAAAGTTGATGTAATTGTATGTAACCCTGGCATTATCCCAACCGAAACAATTATTAGAAAGGACTTTTTTGGGTGCCTCCTGGTCCGAAGATAGAAGTCGGGATGATGCCATGTATTTTTTTTCAAATCTTCCTACCTGATCTCGTTATAAAATTCATAATAGAATGTTTATTGCCTCCGAAAATACTTTATTTACATTTTTACCATCAAGTAGCGACGTGAATCACCCTGTCTAAATTTGCTTAGCATTTCGGTACATCTTAAGTCACCTCAGCGGAAATGCATACAAACATGACTTGCAGAGAAAGCTCCAGAATAGAAAACTATCGGTTGGTTTCCCGCTTCGTCATCGTGAAACAAAGGAGCGTTTCAGAAGGAGAAAAACGAAACCGTTCTAGTACCTGGTTTCAAAGATTTTTTCTTTCCAGCCCTGAGTCGCAATTGCGTGTTTCTTTATTCAGATTTTGTTCGATGGTTTCCTCGAGCGGCCGCTGCATCATTCGGAAAAGGTGCTGACAGCCATTCTGCAATGGACAACGTGGGATGAGCCGTTCCGAGCGAATAACACGTTGGTGTTGAAGAAGAACGACTTGTATCCCAGGATCGCGCATTATCAACCCCGACAGCCGTTGAATAATCTGGCGGCTTTGGATTTCGCCGACAGACGCATGAAGTCGTTCAAAAGCTACGTGTTCGATTTTTCGAACGCGATCTTGCATTGTTATAAAGAAGAGAAAGATGCTCAGGTCAGTTTTCTTGAACAGTGCGTGTTCTACACGAGAAAAATGTATTTTCAGATGTTTTATTCTATATTTTAATGCGAAGAATTGTTGAAACTATCCGAATCATTTTATTTATGCAGAACAAGAGCAATCCTTTGCACGAGTGGAAAATCGAGAATATCATTTGGTACCTCGGGACGGAATCGAAACGAAACGCCCCGCACAAGTGAGTCCGATTATAAGTCGTTCAATTCGAAAATATTACGGCGAGGAATTCTATCACCCGATTGTGTTTTCACTGATTTCTGAATGATAATGGAAAGGTATTCGAGTTCTCGTAATTGGAGAATTTTATTGTGATGGTTTTTCTGTGTCACGTTTTCACTTGGGGGATTTCAAAATTTGGTTTGAAGTTTCAACGATTAAAAGTGATAGTTCGCCACTTTTTTTTAAATCTTCGCTGTTATCATGATCCTTATTTTGATGGACGCAATGTTTTGATACCTAATTCTAGACTTCTTGTGATGTCCCCCACTCGAGAGAATGAATGCTTTAAAACGCTAACCCAGAGTATTAAATAATCGTTTGCATATGTTTTTAATATTTGTGTTCTCGCTTAGTTTGCACTCGTTGAATTGAAATTACACATTTGATTAAGGTGGTCGGTGACTTTCGTGGAGAAGGACGCTGTGATAAAGAAAACCAAGGACTCGAAATGGTTCGGTTACACGCTTTCATTCAAGTCGGAAGAAGTCAGACTCCGTTGGTTAAGTTCTTTCTTGTACTCGAAGCACAGCGACGGTCTCGTTCCGCTGGCGAAGCCCGAGAGCGATTTGCTTCAATGATTCAAAGCTTGCAAGTTGTGGCAAAGTCTTTCGTTCATTTGTATTGTTTATTTTGGTTCTTGATCTGACTTGAAGGTCGTGAGCATGTTTGAGAAGTAATTGTTGCTGTGATGAATCCATTGCGTCGTTGTGCATGAAGAATATCAGTGATCTTGTTACCAGCCGAAATAACTGGAAACCGAACTTCCAAGTCACCCACAATGAAATTAATCTTTTTCTTTCTTAAAATTTCATTTCCTGGGCATTGGCTTTGAACGACTGTTTGCAGATGTTATTTATTGATGATGACCGACAATTTTTTTTATGAACAATGATGATTGTGATTCATTTTTATGCTGTACGAATTGGACAAAGACGGCTTTTGAATTTATCTATGGGTTCTTCTTGAATGTCGACTTTCATGTAGCTATACTGTACTTCGAATAAGATCCTCAGTAAGCAAAAACGAAAGTTGATTTTTTTTTACCGAGCGCCGAGCTTAGAAAATGTATTCCGAATTGAAATTACCACATTTGTTTGAATTAGATGGTTTGCTATTGAGGAAATTCGTATGGAGCTAAGAGTATGATTGTGGATCACCTCTTGCGCGTTTCTATTTTTCGTCATGTGTAATGTTCTGTCGTTGGATTCTCTGATTAATTTAATAATAGATATTGACTATTTTTGCACGGGATCTGCGAGGAAAGAAAAAACATAAAGAAATCGGGATGCCCGCTTTGGACCTCTGGGGAAAAAAATTTTTTTTCGGGAAATTATTCCTTTCTTATTCGTTGCTGAACGAAAATCGGGTGATCTACCCCGTGTGAAAAAAAGGACCATGACGGAATGCGAAGTGTGATGTGGAAATAATATTTTTTTTTTACGTCGCGTGGAAGGGAACTTTCGGAACTATTTTGAAGGTGGGATCAATGGCTCGTTGCCTGTTTGTCTTCCGCCTGTACATGGTTTCTATTTTTTTTATTATCAAAGAACGGAAATGAGATGATACCGGGACGTGCTGGAGTGAAATCTTTCGTACGCGGCATCAAGTCACGGAAGGAAAGCTGTTATAATTTTCACCGCGCCGTTGGTTGATTTGGACGGTGGATTGTTCCGTGGAACAATTTTTGTTGGAGCGATGCGGAAGTTCGTGATAATGCACGGTTTGATTGAAATTCCGATGAGTTTCCTTGCAGTAAGTCTTTCAGAAGTTTTTTTTTTGTTCGTCGTCGTGTGATGTTCTCTCCAACAGTCGCGAGGACCACGAATGTCCATCAGCTGTCATGCAGTAAGTCACATCGCACACCATGTCAAAATCAGTTCTGTAGTACAGTACTGTAGATTACTGTACAAGTGTACATTGAAGAACAGATGAAATTGAAAGAAAATCCATTTTGCTCGAAAGTTTTCTTTATAACCCTCGCAAAAGCGATCAGAATATGGGAGTATAATGCATAAACGTTTAATTTTTATTAAGTGTCTTCGGCCGAATTGAAATGGAAATAATGCACGTATATGTGCAAAAGTAAGGACCAGCACGTGTTTATGCAGTCATACATCATACTGCAAACATTCTGTGGAATAAACGTTTTTAGTGCGATTTTTGTCCTCATGCTACGAACAAAATTCTTGTAAAGAACAGATTCGTTCTTCATGCAAATGAGTAAATTCGTTCTTCGTATACTTGTCATTTGTTTAGAGAATGATACGTACAAAGAATATAATGCTTATTGCACCAATTACGTTTTCAACTACATCATATTCGATGTTTGATAAGGACGGGTAATATTATGCTGTACATTACTGTACTTCTGTCATACAATACTGTACTGTATTCATATCCGTGAAAGCCCTACATGATGTCGTCATTTCGTTAAAGGGGTTTACGCACCCTGCGTGATCATCACTCTGATTTATATATATTTGGCGAAAACGCGGTAACGTTTCTTTTGTGAAAACCTTCAGGTTTCTTCAGTTTCACCTCCAAAGGAAATTACTGTGTAAAATTCCGAATCGTTTCTTCCGTCTCTTAAAAATTGAGAAAGAACATCAGATATGTCCTCGCCTTTTTCTAGAAATAATACTCTATATATAGACAACATCAAAAAAATTATTACTGGATATGGCAAGAAAATGGGTGTGCGTGATACAGTATTTTTATTTTATACAGTGTCAAACATCTACTCCAAGTCAAATTTAATGGTACTTTGAAAAAGTATGGCTTCTAGAGTTTTTGAGTTAAGGAATTTGGCTTCATCTGGGTACGTGAATCAAAATAATTTTGGCAAAATTATTATACTGTGGCAGGAAGATACCTGAAAAGTTCTTGTGGAAAGCATAGAGAAAATAATTCACAGATGTTTTTATGTTATTCTGGAAATTTATCCCCAATTTCAAAAGCAGAAGGCCTCATACAATGTGACAGTGGGAAGTTTGGTCCCAAAAGTTTTGAGTCATTGTACTGGATAATATTGGTCATGGAATAACAGCAAATTCGAATTAGGGATATTTTTGACAGGGGGAGTTTGGATTTGGAAAATTTTACAGTTGAACCTTGATAAGTCAAGCCTCCTTGTTAAGTTGAATACCTGCTCAAGTCAAATTTTTGTCAAGACCCTGTCTGAATTCCCGTAGAAACAATGCATGAAAAATGTCTCTAACTCAAAGACTTTTCCACTAAAACTGCCTTAACACAAATTTTATGAGGCCTTTTGGCTATACAGTATTACAGTATATTGTATTCTCTTGAAACAGGAAAGAGAAAAGCAATGAAAAAGCAACTTGATGTGTTTTTGAAAGCAAGTGAAAAACTAATTGGGCAAATGAATCCCTGCCTCCAAGTTCAGCATTGTGTCAAATCATTCAAGAAGCAATTGAAGGCCCAGAATATCACCATTTACAATATATTTCAATTTGATGTTCCCCAGCACAAAAAAAATGCTTGTTCCTCCAACTCAAAACCTCTCCGAGTCGATTTTTTGCTGGTTCCTTGAAATTCGACTTACAGAGGTTTGACTGTACCTGTACAGTAAGCTAGCAGATATTGCGTATATAATAACCCGAAACTGAACAGCATTTGCGGCAGCCTGAATATAAACGACATCCAGCAGTCTCCATTTTCCTGGTTTCCCATCCTCACTCCCAGAAAACTGTCCTTCCAGCCCTTGGCGAGCCTCAATGGAACCTCAGAGGGAGTGCACATGCATCCAAGTCTCCTTTGTCACCAGCGCCAGAAAAAAAAAGAAACCCCCAGAGGGGGGTGACCCAGGGTAACCTGGAACCCGTAGTCCGTCCCATTGCCAACCCCCGCGTGGGGGTCGAGGGGGGAAAATCAGCCGGGTTCCTTTTTGCTGTAGTTATATACTGGATACTGTATATTATAACGCAAGCATGCGCCTGGCCAATAGTATTTTTGCCTGCCGGAATCTGTCCCGCCAGCAGAGGTTTCCTCCCTTTGTGGCACGTGGCTGGTGCGTGTATACAGACCGGCGACACAATCGCGGCTTTTCCCTCCTGTCTTCAACCCGCATTTTTTCTATTAAACTTTCTTTTTCATTCATTCATTTATTGTGTCACTACTGGCAAAGGAAGGACAGGAACTCTGCATGGTGGTCCTCCTCCAAGCCTCACTGCCCAGCTGATGAATGCCAAGGAAAGCAGTGCATCTCTTCGGTAAAATTATGTATCCCAGCGACGTAAGAACTTTTCCATTTATATCAAAAATGCCCACAGAACTGCACCAATTCTTATCCTAAACTCATCCAAAAGTAGTAATGTATAACCATTTTGCCCATGAGCAGACTACAAAACTCTGGAGTACTTTTGGACCGCATCCAGCAACCACTTCTTCCTGACTAGTTTTACCAAAAATAAAAGAATTCTACACTGTTTCTTCAGTCAATTGTAAACCCCAACACTACAAGCGGTCTGTTGTGGAATGGACTGCTTAGTGCAAAAGAACCAAACCTGTGTATAAGTCACATCAACATCAGTGAGGCAAATTTTGTCACACGTCTACAACTTGTGATAAACAATAAACTGGTCAGGATAAAGGGGAACTGAAGCTTAGCAAGCTCTGGTTTCTTCAGTCAGTCATTCAATGCATGATTCAAGTCTAATGCTTCACAATTATTCCACAGGATATCTACATTCCCTCACAAGTTAACACAACCATGTGTGCAAATGAGAAATAATCCTACCTAACCGTGGATTGGACCCCCCAGATGTGTGTGTACTTGTTATCTACACACACATTTAAAATGTAAAAGGGTTGGAGGCATGTGGGCATATGAAGACTGATTTGGGGTACATGTGGACACAATTTAAATTTTTTGGAGACAATTCCAAGTTTGGACACATTTGGGGGGTGGACTACTTGCCTACTGGGATTTGGACCCTGCAAACTGTTCCTTCCCGCAGCAGAGTAGGAATATTTTTGCAAAATTTTCTGCTCAAGAGTGCTAAGAAAACCTTGGGCTGAGAAGAAAAGCCTTGATTGAGGAAAAAATTCTTCAAAAATATTAAAAGTCTAATTGCTTAAAAGTCTAAAACTGACCCAGAAATTGAAACAGCCAGTAAAATGTGGTACAGTACCAACAGGTTAAAATGAGGCAATTTCAAACTTGTATTGTCAGATGTGAAATTTATTAAGGCAGACACAATTGTATCATATCCACTTCCCTCAGTGTTGTGTCATTATTTTGCATTAGGAATTCAATCTCAGGACAGAGGCGCGGATCTACGCAGGCGTGTCAATGGGTAGGCCTATCAGTAAATTTTTTACTTGTTAAAAGCACTTTAAACAGAAAAATAAATGAATAAAACTGGCTTACAGATTAATGAGCCCGTACTCAAGAAAAAATCAATCTGTAAAAACGAGGCTCTAATATCAGTACAGTATAGAGCCGCTGAGGCGTTAAACAGGGACAATTTATTTTGAAAAGGAATGCAATAAATTGAAAGTGTCTTGAAATTGGCTTTAATTCACATGTGAAAAATCGATCAAAAAGCTTTTTGCCTTCTATCCGTCCACATGCACGTTTTGTCTTTCAAACAATCCCGAAAATTATAATTTAAAATTCTTTTCTGCGAAATAACAGTAAAAATCTAGAGAACCTGGTGGACTCTTCAACAACAAAATTCAATGGACCACAAGAAATTCGTTTTAGAGATAATTTATTGTAGAGAACACTTATAACATGGGTTGACAACACTAGAGGACCAAAGAAAAATTCGTTATACAGTACAAAGAAAATCGTTGTAGACAAGATTGTTGTAGCAAGAGTCAACTATGTATGTTGCAGATAATTCGCCAAAAATTGAATTTATTTTTTTCGGCATTAAAAGCATTTACATCATAAAATGTAGCCTGGAATGTATTATTTTTTTGATGCGAGTGCAAAATTACAATCGATATTCATTGTAGAGAGACAAATTACGAGCTGAGATTAATTGTAGATTTCTAGAGATACCGTAGATTACCGAGTCCATGAGTATAGCTTTTGCAGTAATAAAAATATAAATAAATTTGAAGTTGCAAAAAAATATCTTGATCTCGTTGGTATGGGTATTTCATGGAATTTTTCGCATGTCCCTCTCTCTCATCACGGTTCGTTGCAGATGGGTTCCAGCTGCCGTACCGGCGAAACGGAACTGATACGGTCGCGCAGACCCCAATTCCCGACATGTACTGCTTCGGGTGCCCCGACTTGCTGATTACCGGCGTAACGGGTATGCGAACCCGAACGAATCGCGAAAACCTTTAGAGGTTATTCGAAGCGTTTGCAGCAGAATTGGAAATACTTTCAACAGAAACGAAGGGAAAGTCATTTACATTTATTATCCTGTAAAAGGAATGATGAAACCCGTTGCGACACGAGCTCAAAACGCATGAGAATAATTTTTGACTATTGTACGCGAATTAAATTTTCTTCCAACATGTGTGCGTGGTGCTTGATTTTTGCATGAAGTTGGGGAAAAGAATATTCAGAAGTTCTGTCCTTTAATGTACTCGATTAGCTTTTCTGCTCCTTTTCAACATGTAAAGTACAGTACTTGAGAACATTCCAAAGAATTGAAGCGTTTACAACCAAACATTATTTCAACCTTTTTATCTTCAAAATTAAAATAACAGCACTAATTTTAAATCTTGAATACCAGCAGTTCGGACTCCTTG